GAATAAGTTACATGGTGAATAGTACAAGGGCAGTCATCACAGAGACTTTTGGTTTTGATCATGCATTATGAATTATAAACAATCAGGTCAAATATGAATATTCATTTGATTTTTATACTTGATTTATATGTGGATACATTTCTCTCTTTATTATTATTATTTTTAATAAAATGCTGAAGTGGTAGGTAGATGCAAGATAAGGGTAGAAAACATAGTTTAGTGTTGTAAGAGAGCAAATGTAGATAATCAGGTGTGTGCCTGTAGACTATGTGTTAATCCAAGCTAGACAAGGGCAATAAGACATCCACGGATGCAGCAGATTTCTCTCAGAACGCCAACCCATATTCTTAATGATGACTTTATTCTTTTCATTTTGAGTAATTTCTAATTGCTGGTCTATGTGCCCTTCATCTATGCATTTTTGACCTGCTAACTGAAATAAGCCAAAATCTTCTTCTTTAAAATCTTGCTCTTCTAGGATTTGACATCTCTTTATTATGGATTGAAGTTCTTCCACAGCCATTCCTCCTATTTTTCCTGGTTTTGATGCTGAAATGGACCGCAGGCTGCTAGCCCCTCTCTCCCTACCGAACTTTCAATGCTGAGTATATGCTATACTCCTTGAGGATATACTGTAATTTCAACTCAGCCTTATACTAGGAGGGCTTGGCAATGGAGGAGAAAAATGCTGACTTGTAGAAATAAAAGGAAAAGCAAGCCAGGGACCAGAAGCTACAACACATATAATAAAGTACCAGTATCTAAAATGTAAAGAAATACTAATTATTATTACAACAAAGACAAGTAACCCAATGGAAAAAATGAGTAAAGGACAGAAAGGGAATGTTCAGAGGAGAAAAACCTGTTAAACTCTAGGCTATAACCATTTGAAGATATTCAATTCCACCAGCAATCAGGATATGCAAATTAAAACCGCAATGAGATGCTATCTCATTCCCAGACCCAGATGGCAAAAACCACTAAGTCTGACACTACCATGTCTTGGTGAAAGTGTGCAACAAGAAGAAGCTTTTCACACTGCTGATGGGAGTGTCAAATGATCAACCACTTTGGGAAGAATCTGGCAAGAGCTCATACAGCTAAGAATCCACATTACCCACAACAAACTCGTAGGGATGCCCCTGAGGAGATCTCCCAAAGGGTAGAAAGAGATGCATGTATGGATGTTCACTGCAACACTGAAAAGAAAACCTAGAAATCCAGAAGCACCTTCAACATTCACCAACATGGAAAAATTGAAAAATACATTGAGGTCCAATTTGGAGTTATATTCAATGGACTCAATACTACCCAACAGTCAAAATGAATGAACTAGATTTGTAGGTATCATTAAGAATTGAACATACTGATATGCATATAAGGAAAACTGCTCAAAGATAAATTAATATGATAGATAGTTCATATTAAGTTAAATCACACACCCATACATAAATACAAACTAGTACCATATGTTGTATATAGATGGTTGCATCTGTGGCAACAGTAGAAAACTGGGACTGAAGGGTCCATACATTTTATTCATGACAGCATATGCTCTGGGGAAAGAGGAAAAATAGAATGGGACTGTAACCAAGTCAAGCACAATTTACAATATTTTACTTTCTTTATAAAAAATAAGTCAAAATGACAACATATAAAGGTTTGTGTATTCTGGGTGGTGGGTAAATAAAAATTATTTCCTATAGCACTTTCCTGTTCTTCTTATTAATCTGCACACACACACACACACACACACACACACACAAACACAAAACTTCTTTAGGTGAGATACTATAAACCAATATAAAATAAAA